TATATATATATATATGTGTGTGTCCATATATATTCAAACATCTCTCTTTTTTTTGTAAAATTACTTATACTTTTTAGTGTAATACAAATAATAATAGTAATGATAACATAAAAAATAATTAAAGAGATAATTTTCGCATTGTACGTTTTAGAAAAAAAAAACAAGTTTGGAAAAACAGTAAAAAAAATTGCTTATACACAATTATGCATAATTTTATTATACATAAATAATTTTTTTACATTTCTTCAAATTTGATTTTTTCTTGATTTCTTGATCACCGAAATATCACTTTTATTAATATTTTATTGATTTTATTGATATTTAATATCAAATTTATAACATTATTTATAACAGCAATACTTACAATCTCTGATTAAACATAGAACATATACATACATACATGTACCAATTTAATAAAATATGCAATAAAATCAATAAGACATCAAAAGTGACACTTCGATAGTGATTTGAATTCTCGAAGACTTTTACAATATTATTAGATATAGAAACAAAATTGTAAAGTGCTATTTAAAAAATTTAGGATGACTTTGATTTTCTTGTAATTTTTTAAATCTTTGTATCATAAATATTGTAGCCTATATAAAACAAATAAATTCTCTTCAATCTTTTTCTTTTAATTGAAAAATCGTGCGAATCGTTACGCTAAACACTCTGTATATATTCTGTAAAATTATGATTTTGCCAGAAATTTCAGGTTCGAATATTTATGTAGTGTCAAAAACATATTTCAATTGCATTATTTGATCCCGATAATAAACTATTTCTAATTTTTTTTTATTATTTTTACATGCAATCTAGAATTATTTGTAATTTTTTTCTAATTATTATTTTGAAATATTGTTTATATTTCCTTAATATTTAAAAACAATAATGCATTCTCTCTCTCTCTCTCTCTCTCTCTCTCTCTCTCACACACACACACACACACACACACACACACGCACGCACGCACGCACGCACGCACGCACGCACGCACGCACGCACGCACGCACGCACGCACGCACGCACGCATACATGCACGTACAGCTCAGTATATTAAAAAAGCAAAAAAAAAAAGAATAGAAACTAATAATTTCAATATTTCACATAGAAAAATTTAGTCTTTTGTAATTTAAATAATAAGACTGATTTTCAATTAATTAGTATTTAAAATACAAAATACTTTTAATCTTTCATTTTGAAATATACAAAATATTTTTACTACGCTAAAATACAAAATATAAAATATTTCATGTGCATCACTAAAATATACAATACAAGATACAATTGTTACAAATATCATTTATTAATGAAATTAAATTATATATTTTTTTATAGAAAAATATTTCAAGTACACGCTCAGCCCTAAATAAATTGTGGAAAAGAGCAAATGACTGCGAAACAAGATTGATAAGAGATGATTTTCTTTTTAAGAATAATTATTTAAGAATAAACATTGTTTTTTTTTCAATGTTTTTAATGTTGCATATACATGTTTTAAGCAATATTATAAAAAAAACATTGATTAAACATATTTTAAACATGCAGTTTGAAACAGTTTAACACATGTTTAAAACATATATAATCAACCCTATTGCAAAATACTCGAAATACGTTTTGAGGATATCATATGAAACTTCTTAAGGACTTTATAAGATATATTAAGAACATTTTTTATAAATTTTTAGAAAAAATTCTTAAAATAAGAAATGAATAAGATCATGTGGTTTTATTGCTAAAAAAATTACAAAATTAATTATTTAGTTCGCTAAAAATCTAGATTAAAGACATACAATTTTTTGCCCAAATAACAAGGTGTCATTATTTTGATGTCAATAATTAGTCATGTTATAGATTATTGAAGTCATTACCTATTTAAGATGTAATAACAAGTCATCTTTTTATAAATTAATGAATTCATTTATTTATCCATCCTACGACGTATTTACAACGTCATACTCTTATTAACTTATTACGACAAATAGCTGACCTATCGACGTATTAGTTATATTATGGCCATTATAACGTTATTATAGTAATCAATTAATCACTACAATAACATTATAAATTGATCACTATAATAAAATTATTACAGAGATTTATTAATAACGTCATTTATTTATGTTAACAACATCAAAATAATGACGTATTTTCGATGTCAGTTTATAACGTTATGTAACTGACAAATCCGTCATTTTAAATGTTTGATTCGTCAAATTAGTCCTAAGAATGATGAATTAATAACGTCAAATAGACGACATCTTGATATTTGGGTACATCATCTTGAATATGTTTTTGATTTAACATACATTAAAACTATTCTATTTAATACGAACCTATTCTTATAATACACACATAAAGAATAAGATCATTGTTCAAAATTGACTTGTAAGAATCGATTGAATAAAACTTAAAAGAAAGAATTTTTGTCGTGCTAGTATTGCTAAAATTTCATTGGCTGATAAATGTTCTAATTCATATTGTAGACAGCTGTCATGTATAAATTGGAAATTATATTGACAAATTATATTGACAAATTATTTAGCTTATAGTCTTTCCGAGAGAGAATTCAAAGATGTTTCTTCAGCAACATCTTCAAGAATTCAGAAAATTAATTTGTTAATTCATTTGTTATATGAAATTCTTTCTGCTCAGATTCCTCTTTAATTGACAAGCTCTTTTTCATCCTAAAAAAAACATTTTTTTGTTTTATTAAAATAATGGTACGATTAAAATATCATTCAGTTGAATAAGATAAAAGATTGTTTTATTCATGATATATTTTTGCTTATTTAGATAAAATCTATATAACAACCATCTACGAAAAAAAAACAGAATTTTTCTAAATAAGCTTTATTTTCGATTTAGAAAGTATAAAATACAAACTTTTCTAGAAGAACACATGTAAGTGAATATACTTTATAAATTAGATCATCATGATGATATTGAATAGTTTCTATTTTATCTATTATTCCAGCTTCTTTAATCATAATGATAAATTTTTCTGTTTGTTCTACTTTCTCTGCAGCACGCAAGATTTCAGTTAGACAATCGAAGACATTAATAATATTATTGTAATTCTTTGCTTCCAATAAATTACAAAAAATTGATAACAAGCCGGCATTTATTAATTCGTTCAAATTTTCAATTGATCCTATCGTTATTATATCCATTACAGTCCATGCAACTATATATTGTGCTTCTTCTGCTCCCTACAAAAAAAATGAAAAATGTATTAAAAAAATGAATTTATCTACAAAATTCTTTATTGAAATATTTAAAGCAGATATTCAGCAGATTTGTTCGTATATAAACATGCTTACACATTCAAGTATTTCTATCAATGGTGATAATAAACCAGCATCTATTACACATTGGATTTGTTCTTTGGTATTAACCATTTTGTAGATTGCCGAAACAATTTCCACTACAATACGAGTATCTCCGTTGACGAGACAATTTCGCAACAAGGTATAAAGATGTGACAAACCTCCAGCGAAAATTACAGCATTTGTTTTATAAGTATCACCTGATTCTACTATATGTGCAACTGTGCGCAATGCTGGAACAAAGATATTTTTTGCTTGCGACATCAGACATCCTAAAACTTGCGGTAGAATGCCAGTTTCCAATAATGCATGTATGTTATCATCGCATCCATCAGTAAGGTAAGCGAGTATCCAGCAGGTACTGGCTGGAATAAACAGCGTTATAGCATCTCAAAGTTACAACAAATTATATAATATATAAATATAAAATAAAACGTGTATATCTTACAAATTACGCTTTGATTTCGAATAGTAAGTAGGTAACTAAATATTGGTAGAATAGGTCTAATCAATTCAATGGCTAAAGGTGGATTCTTTTTACATAAATGGAACATAGTCTTTACGATGTTGCGCAATGATATCATCTGCATATAGGTATATTATAAGTATCAGAAAATATTGAGAAATGATATTTACTTATTAAAAGAAACATAGATTTAAAACTTTATTTAACATAAAAACTAAGTATATATTGCTAATTTGTGTACTAAAAGCAAACATCATTAGAGTTGTTTAATATTTCAAAGTAATTTCATAAAAACATGTAACATTTCCAAAAATATACATTATTCTTACTCATTTAGAGAAATGTAAATATTACTAATTCAGATATTAACAAACCAAGAAGAAAAAAAGAAAGATTCAAAAACAAAAAATATTTTATTTTATTTGGATTTTATCTCATATAACAAATTCAATAATATTGATAAAATAAAAAATATTTATAAAATATTTATAAAAATACTTTTAAATTTTAATCACAACTATAATAATTTAATTTCTTTTGAATAAATATAGTATATTTGAGATTTTGATTAATCAATATTATTAATAATCAATATTATATATTTGTAATAATTAATACAATAAAAAGCTATTTATAATAACTGTAAAATATCTTGATGAATAATTATTATTTACATTCTACAATCATTAGTAAAATACAAGTCTGTCACATATGAATAGTTATTTTTGGTATATAATTTCTTTTTTAAATACTCTTAAGGTTCTATTTCTCTTATATAATAATAATATATAATTAAGAAACAAATTTAATTATATCATATTTATTAAATAATTTAATTAAGTATAGGATGTGTTATGAATATTATACTATTCTATTTTTAGATCAATACCAGAAATAATTAATCATCATCATTTTCTTGTAATAAAGATACAAATATAAAATATTAAAAATTCATTCATTAACTAGTATCAACAATTAATAACTATTATTAAGTGTAATCAATTTAAAAACATGTTTTTATCACACTAAGTTTCATCACATTAATTGCTTTCCGGTTTGCAAATAGCATTTGTACACTCTCTAGACAAATGGACAAAAATGTTGTTTCTACAACAGTGTTAAATACAAAAGACATACAAGTAAGACAAATGTAATTGAAAGATATTATTAAATACATTGAGAAAAAAATATCTTAAATTTCAATAAATATTTATTTGAATAGTACCAACTAAATATTTATTAAACATATATAAAAATATATTATTTATTTGCTACAAAAAATATTAATTTGATTTAACAATCACTTCTTTTAATTAAGTAAATATTTATTTATTGTAAGTAAATTTAGTTAGCAGTATTCAAATAAATATTTATTTAAATTTAGACTATTTTTTTCTCAATGTACAATGTCACTTACTGAGATACCAGAATTAATAAATTTAATCAAAAGAGGTAAAGCAGCATGATTAAGAGCAATATCACGTGCATAAGGCATATCTTTCGTTATATTTCCTAAAATATACACTGCTTTTCTTATAATAAAAGACACTGTGGACTTAAGTAGCTTCACTAATTTTGATATTACTCCATGTTTTATAATACTCTGCTTTTGTTTGAATGTACCCAAACTCATGCGAGTTAATACATTCATTATTTCAAATTGTAAGCGAAGACTGAATAAAAATAAAGAAATAATATCTTATTCATAAATATATGAAGAAATAATTTTCTTAAATCGACAAATAATTTTTTCAGTTTTCAAATACATACTTGTGACTAATATCTAAGAGTTCAATACTACGTGATACTATGTTATCTTCTACTGTATCATTTATAAAAATAGGTATTCTATTATGTATTAAGATTTTGTAATTCTGAATTGCCACTAATTGTAATGTTTCATTTGATGAGTATATGTAATTTACAATTTCTTCTATAGAAAGACGGGAAGTTAATGTAATATTTATTTTTGATAAATCTGGTAATGCTTGATTTGTATCAAGATTGCAATTTGACAATCGATCATCTTCTTTGGCTTTACATAGCTCTACTGATAATGCATCTTCATTTCTTCGTGCTTCCTAAGAAATATGTAAACATAAAATATGTAAAATGTTTTGTATCTACTTGCGATCTGTATTAAATAATTAAAATAAAAGATTAGAAAGTAATGCGTTTATTTACATTACTTTTTTCGGTAATGATCGTTATTTTTTTGTGTTTGTAATGGTAAAACATCATTACATTTTTATAGTAATGAATTCAACTATTACTTTATCGTTATTTATTTCCCTTTTTATCTTTATACTACTATTTAATGGATCGCATTATTTTTCATGGACTAGAAATATTTTATAATAAAAAAGGAAATATCGACAAATATTTTGTATCTAAGTTGCATTCTGACACATTGTCGATACTAAAAATCTGTAGTATATACGTATTATAAACTATAAATTTTCAGTATTGGATATTGAAATGCATTCGTAATAACAACATTTAATTAATGTTTAAAAATAATGTTAAAAAATTTTTAACAAAATTTACATTTAAAATTACAATTATTTATTTCCTAAAGGTGAACGTATTATACATAGATTAAAAATATATAATATACATTAAAAAATAAAAATATTCATATAATTATCATAAAGATATTAAATATAAGTTTAATGTAAAGAAAAGCTTGCTATATAGATTAAATTAAATTTTTAAGTTT